TCATAGACTGTATAGACATCTGGTCATCTGCATTTTCTGTCATCCCTTTGGAATGTCCTAAAATGTCCTTGCAGGCATTTCCCTCGCCCGAAGTATCTGCCACCACCTAGGGTTCCCGGGTGTGCGACGGTGGGCTGTGATGCTTTGTGGCTGAGGTGTTCATGGCGTTCAAGTATGCTTGCTTAATTGTTTCCCCTTTTTCTTGTCTTAGGTAATGCTCTACCTTCTCCTTTAGTTCAACCTGTTTTTGGGGTTTCTTCACCATGAGCTTCTGAGACAGCGGTCCCGGGAGGAAGCCCCACGTGAAGGCGCCTGCTATTAACCCTTCATCGTTCCCTGGGACGTCTAATGTGGCATTGGTGAACCCGGTGAAGTACTATCGCACCGTCTCTCATTCCTTCTGCTTGCGACCGATGATTGAGTGTGAATCTCCTTATATTTACGCAATTGCATGAAATTTGTCAAGAAAATGTACTTTAACTGGCCAAAATTGTAAATGCTCCTAGTCTGTAACGTCTTGAACCACGTTCCTGTGTTGTCGTTTAAGGTTGTCGGTGTTAGGGTGAAATGTATAGCGAGATGTCGAAGTCAGTATGGTCTGTTTAGTATCGAAGTCTGAGTACTTCACTATGTATTTTGTAAGGCAATATTAGATGTCGAAGCATAATTTTTAGTCCTTACATATTTTTTGTACGTCTGATGTACCCTATAAATAGGGTTAGTATAGAAGTAGAGGGTAAAGTTTTTGATCACTTCTCAGTGATATTCTATCTTGTACTTTGTACTCTTTCAGACGTATCAATGTGCCAAACATAATTTATTTACACTTGTGTTCTTACTACATTATGTACTTGATTTCTTTTCACAAACTTGATTCAAACGAACTACAATTAGTATCATAGTAGGATACATTCACTTGATTCTAGTTTTCTCGTCTTTTTCAATAGTTTTGAATCGCTCCTCATAATTCAAAGATTTCCACACTATTGATTAAGAAAACTTGTTCTAATCAATTGATTTGTTTCCATTCTTCTATTCATTTGATAGATTGAATGTTCTCTGATAACTTTCTGATTGTTTCATCTGTTAGATCTTGTTTTCTGAATCTTATCGCCACATTTGTCCGTACAAAAATGGCGAATTTCAACATGAACACCATGACTAGCTTTTCTCATCTGCTTGGATCTTCTACTAAGATTCCAATGCTTATTCTAGAGTATTACGAGCAATGGACAGATTGCATGGAGGATTACCTCAACGGGATCGACGAAGATCTCTGGCGATGTGTTACTCGTGGAAATTACCATCCAGAAATGTTTACTCAAATAGAAAATGCAGGTTCATCCACTTATATGGCATCTCAAAAGGAAACGTATGAAGCTAATGATAAGAAATGTATTCGTGAACTTTGTGGTGCTCTTCCACTAGTTGTTTACAATTTTGTTCGAGGATGCAAGACTGCAAAAGAGATTTGGGATACTTTAAAATAAAATTATCAAGGAATTAAGACAACAAAGAAGAGCTTTGTGAAGCAATTTTTACTGGAACTTGGTGAATACAAGCAAAAGGAAAGTGAAACCATCAAACTCTACTACGATCGCTTGAATGAGTTGATATTCAAGTTCAATCGCTATGGTGTTACACGCTCAAATCCTGAATACAATCTCACATTTTTTATCGGATTACGAAAGGAGTGGAGGAACATCAGCTTGATGATAAGAATTCAACAAAGCTTTGATGGCTATTCATTGGGAGATTTGTACAATGTGCTCAAAGCTCATGAGAGAGAAATCAATGAAAGAGCAGAAGAAGGGAAGATGAGTCTAGGAGGTCCTATGGCCTTAATGTCGAAAGTGTCAGCAAAGGACTTTGAGATCGAAGCTACTGAGCAAGTTGGTTACGAATATGAAGGATTTTTGATGAATTCAAAGGATGAGGCTGTGACATTTTATTCAAACAATAAAGTTAAAAAGTTCTTCAAGAATCCTTTCAACCCAAAATACAAAATCAACAACGAATTCAAGGGCAACAATTCATCTGGCAACGGAACAAGAGTGGAGTCGAAGGAAGATAAGAAAGAGATTAAGAGTGTTGTTGAGAAGAGTGAGAAAAAGCTGAAGGGAGATTCAGGATTTGATTGTAACTATTGTAATGGTGCAAACCATTTTGCAAAATATTTCATGTTGAAGAAGAAAGATGAGAAGAATGAGAGAGTAAAATACGAAGTTTGCTATGTTGAAAGGGTAGAGGAGGTGAGAGCGAAGACCAAGGGTTTGTCATTGGTAGGTAAGGGTGGAGATGAAGAGGATGGAACATACCAGATATGGTCATCTGGTTCAGGTGATGAAGAAATGAGAAACCCTACTCATGGGGCGATGTTTGCTCAACATGAGAATGACATGTCGAAAGCTGGAAAAGTCACTGGGAGGTCTTTTTTTCAACAGGAGCAGATAAGTCACCTATGACTTCAAAGGTACGTTCTCTTCTTGAATCTTAAATATTCCTTCGAGTTCTTATTTTACAGTTTTATCTGATTTCGATGATAATCTCTCATATGTTAATGACATGCTAATTTATGTTAGTAGCGAAGCTGAACGTTCTAATGCGTTAATGTTAGATGTTCAAAATCGATTGGAGTCTAAGAAGAGTTGAATTGATAGTTTAGAGTTGCAATTGCAAAATATCACTATAGATAGGGATTCAGCTAGAGAAGACGATATTTTGTTGGTAAAACAACAAAACATCTATTATAATAGCGCTAGGAGATTGTATGCCAAATTAACCGAACTCCATCACTCTTCAGACATTTTCAAAGAGCAACATAGGAAATTATTGCCTTTCTTAGAATGTGAAAGAGAAAAGTTCAATGCTACTTCCTATGATTGCGAAAAGAAAATATCAGAATTTGATAAAGTGCCTAATGATTCATATGCTTATGGAATTGTTAAAATTGATGAATGCTTGAATGCTAATTAATTAATGCATATTGTTAATGAAACTCTCTCTAAAACTGAAAAAATTAAAATTTTGAACATAACTGAGATGTCAACATTAGATTCTCAACAAAATTTTGCTGATATCGAAGATGATTCTGACTATATCAGTGAAATTGAGGAAGAGGAAACTGTTGACTGTTCTCAGTTATCTGTAATTAATGTCACTTCAATGACCAATGGCAAAGAAATTTTGTATGATTCAATGGCAAAGGTTAACACCGATCAACCTTCTACATCGAAAGGTTTTCATTATGATCCAGTTGTTATAGAAGATTGTGATACTGATAGTGATGAGGATGATGTTGCGAATGAAACACCCATTCCCAAGGTTGTTGTCGAACAAGTCTATGCAGAAACAGAGAAGTTCGAAAAGTGATAAAATACAAAGGTCCTCATTATCTTGAATCAAATTCAGTTGTCTATCCATCGTTTAAATGCACAGATGCAGTTGTGTTCCCAAATCTTGTGTTCGTCACTACTGGAAATGGTGACAAGGTGAATCCTGAAATCAAAAAAAGTATTGAAGAAGATAACAAAGACGTGACAAACGAAGGTTTATTTTCAAACCAAAGCACAGTTCAAAAAGGTCTAAACAAAAATTCATCAAATTTTTAAAGGCAAAAACCAAAACGTGTTTGGGAAGTTAAATCTGAAAATTCAAAAGTTGAAAATAAAACCAAAGAAACTGTTTCGAAAACTCAAAAGACAAAATCACAAATTTTCAATGAAAGTGTTCAAAAGGTTGTGAAAGAAGAATGTGTTTCAATTTCAAAAGCACGAAACAAAGTCAATTGGAAAAATATCATGGCTTTTCAAAAATAGAAAGTTGTTAAACAAAAATCAACTGAACAAGTTAAGACATTTTCTCAAAATAAGACGTTTGTTCAAACCAAGGAATCACAAAAACAAAATGATTTTCCAAAAAGTAAGTCTAATGTCCAAAAACAAGTTCGGCCTCAAAATGTTCAAAAGCAAGGAAATGGAACTTTTTCTAAAAATCTAATGATCACAAGACTACGTAGGTATCTCAGTCTTTGCTTAAGGGAAAGCTCAATGTTGCCAAGTATGAAGATGGAGAAATTGTGCATCAACCTTTGGGAGTTGTTTTTCTTGGTAAGAATAAGAACAACAAGTTAACGAAGTTCTTATTTCAAGTTGTTGATGTTGAAAGGTACACAAATGTTCATTATACCAGTTTGCTTGTAAGAACCAACAATTTCAAGAAGAATAGTGCAGAAGAAAAGGGTGAAATAAGGAAGATTATTCTCTGGTACATGGAAATTCGCAAGGTACTTCTCCAGACCATCAAGCCGATGACGTAAATTCAAAACTTATCACTAAGGGGGAGATTGATAGGGCGAAATGTATAGTGAGATGTCGAAGTCAGTATGGTATGTTTAGTATCAAAGTCTGAGTACTTCGCTATGTATTTTGTAAGGCAATATTAGATGTCGAAGCGTAATGTTTATTCCTTACTTTTTTGTATGTCTGATGTACCCTATAAAATAGGGTTAGTATAGAAGTAGGGGTAATGTTTTTGAGCACTGCTCAGAGATATTCTCTCTTGTACTTGTACTCTTTCAAACGAATCAACGAGCCAAACAGAACTTATTTACACTTGTGTTCTTACTACATTTTTTACTTGATTTTGTTTCACAAACTCGATTCAAACGAACTACAGTCGGAAAATACTTACACCGGAATCGCTCGTCTAGCTTTAACGAGGTCATCATCCATTCGTAAGTATCGATATGGCTATCTGGGTCTGTGGTTCCATTGTAGGTATTAAGGTGTGGTAGTTTTGCTGTATTTTGGATTTCATAGTCTAGGAGTTCTTTGGCGAATGGAGATGTCATGCTTCGCGATAAAGAATATTGGTTTGGGATGGAGAAGACGCCTTGTGGGTTATACTGTTGGGTGGTGAGGCAGGGTTGCACTAGCATGTTGTTATATGTCGTGAGGTACCCTAGGTTTGGGTCATAAAAGCTTTGCTGCTGAAATGGGATGGTCAGTGGTTGGGTTGATAAGAAAGGTGGGTTTTGTGAGTTGTTTAACATGAATGGCGGGTGCTGCAGGATTGTGGTATTGAAAGGCATGTTTGTTACAAATGGAGGTGTTTGGAAGGCCATCTTTTGTTCTCTCACTGTCTATTTTAGTGGCAGTGTTTGTGAGAAAACCAACATGCCGATGTCGTTGTCCACCGTTGGTGGTGTTGTGCTGCCTGAGATCACCGCCAACTGTTGTGCCTTCATGGAAGCGCTTTGTTCAAACGCGGTGGCGGAGGACGTTGGTCCATCGACGGTCAGCCTCCGTGATTCGTTCATTGGATCAGTGGTCATCGTTGAGACGCCTTTTTGTGATGTTTCACTGGTTACTGGTGTGAGAATGGGGGCGGTAACTGGTTCTAACGACATCATAGTCCTGATAGGGCTTGTTGGTGACCCACCAGTCCCACCGGTGTCACCGGATGCCATCTTCAAGTGTTGAGAGGTGTGCTTTTGGTTTGTTTTTCATCACTTTACGGATGGTGCCAAATGATATGACCTGGCCACCGGATGAATTCGCCTGCTGCTTCTGAATGTTCTGATGCCTGCAATGTGACAACAGGATGAAGCCGTCAGCCGTTCTTCGGGAGGAGTCTCCCGGGAAAATGCTACGACGGTCAAGTCAGTAGATAGACTTATATGTATGTGCGATTGAACTAGGAGAGAGCGAATTACTTTCCTATGTATCGGAGGAGGCGTTTTATATTAAGGCCCTCTTCTAGTCCGTACGGGACAAAGGCGTCAGATCTGATAGGATCGGGGGCGCTGATTGGGTAATTATGCATCTTGTTCTATCAGAGCTAACGATTGGTTCAGGTGATAATGCCCTGAGCATCTTCCTTGTCGCCTGGAGCCATTATATTTTGTCGCAGAGTAGAAGGCGCCCTTGGCGGGGCCGAGCCTTCTCCGCGGGCGCCCTGCTCTTAGGGGCGTCCGCAGGTGCGGGGTTCTGTTGGGCTTGCTCTTCTAGGTGCGACTTGACATGGGGAATTCTATGGCGCGTTTGAGCGTGACTCTTCGTTCGTGCCAAGGGCACGTCATCAAACACGATAAAAGATCGGTCGAAGATCGGCCTGCATACCCGGTTCATCAGATCCATAAATATTGTAGGCGCATTAGTGAGCCCAAATGGCATCGCCATGAACTTGTAATGCTCATAACGTGTCCGGAATATGGTCTTCTCCACATCCTCCACTCTCACTCTCACCTGATGACAACCATGTTGGGTTTTGAGCATTCTAACACTCCTAAGTGTACATGCAACCCTAAATACCTTGGATCTATGTTTTCTCTATTATACATGCAAATATGAATATTCCAAGGTATTACCCTATCTAGCATACAATCTTTGATACTTGGGTAATAAAATAGATAGAATACATACCTTTTTGTTGTTGCTTGTCTTCATGAAGCTTGAGTGCCTAGTGCCCCAGGTGTGACACCTCAAATGGTTCACACAACACCATGAACACTTGGAATAACCTTGAGAATAAGGATACTTTGGTTTTCTCTAGTGAAATCGGCCTTGCCCTTTTGTGTACACACACTAGTGCCCATTTCACCAACCAAGGACATCTTTATATAGTGTGGAGATTAGGGTTAAACCATAATACCCATGACCTTTCATTTCATATGATCCATAGGTTAAACAATCCATGGACTATCCATGAAAGCTTAGCCCAACCTAAATGAACTTGGCCCATCACATACATATATCTAAGAGTCCATATTTAATTAGTTCCTTTTGATCACTTAATTAATTACAAATTAATTCTTGATCAATACTAATTAAATAATATGATTATATATTAATATATTAGAACTTATAATATATTAATATAAATCACTAGTATCCTTTTTCCTCATCTTGTCAATCCAATTGTCCCGATGCCATGCAACCCAAATGGACCATGCCGGGTCGGGTCAAGTCTTACCAATTATAGTTATGGACTTAGACATTAATCCAACAGTCTACCACTTGGATAAGTCTAAAACTATTATTGCAAGTATGACTTCATAACCCGACTAGCAATCGTAGCTCTTAAAAGCTTCTGTCGAACTCTGACCTTGCCGATGAACTCTGACCTTTGTCAATGACTTGTCCATTAGATAAGGGATCATATATTCCTCCATTCTAGATATCATATGAACTGAGACATGGATTATAAATCATTCTCTCTGTCCATTTGTTGTTTCCCGATTTTCGATTTATGATGACTGACTGATTGAACAGATCAAAACAGTCCTTGCTTGGCCAAGCACTCACATGTATCATCATTAAATCATCGAGGGGCCCACAGATATCGCTTTTAAGCCGAAGGTAAAAGGAATGGATAAACTTCGACTCATATGGCTTGTTCTACTACTTGTTGAATCATACACAGAGGCACGTTTTATAACATCGAGTTACCAATGCGTTTTCGTGCAATCAATGTACAACCAATTCATAGTAACAACTCATATCTCTAGGTTTGAAGAATATAAGATATTATCGTCTCATGATCACTCGTGATAAAATCCATGAGGTGATTCCAATGAGCGTGGGTTGAATCAAATACTTAGAACTTATGAGCACTCATGAATGTTGTAGCATCACCTTGTCCAACATCTTAGACCTCTACAAGCCCAACCCATGACAGTCTTGATTCATATCTACTTCCAACATATGACCGACTGTGGATGGTTTGAATAACTTAGTCATTCAGGAAGAACGACCTAGTTATTCTGGAAGTCAAAACATGCAAAATGAAACACAAGAATAATTGAATCCAATATGGTCTCAGAACTTATGAATATAAATAAAACACCTTTTATTTATCACCATATGATTACACATTATTCATTGCATACTGTTTCAGCTATCAACTTTATTCTTGAACATGCTCCAAGCATGTACACTATGTTTTCTAAACACTAGTCATGCCATACACCAAGTATGCACACTATGTTTGTCTATGATCTTTACATTGTGAAATAAACCAATTGAACCATGATTCTAATTTCACACTCCCAAATCCTTATTGTAAATGTAAGAATTCCAAATCCTTATCATTTATCGAAATCTGTTAGATTTTAAACTTATATGCATTGGTCCTCTTGTAACGATTATGCACAAAGTCACAATGACTTGTCAACAAACATTACAGAGTATTCCAATGGAGATCAACTCCATGGAACCGAAGTCTCATATTCAACGTTCATTGCCTTTGAACATTCTTCTTGCATTAAGTTTCCTAATCTTACACAAATAACTTCCACCTATGGAGACAACTCCATATTCCCATTTTGACTACCCTTTCTGAACAAGAGTTGCCTCTTTTCAGATCAGGTGAATATGGTCCTTCCAAAGTCAACACTATACTTCCAACTGTCCTTAAGCAACCAATCCTTGGTAAAACCTTAGATTGTCCTCGACAATTGCTTAATCCTTTTAGTCATATCCAATTCTAGACTTTTTCCCTTCTTAATGCCCCGGGCATTTGGAAAATTTTATAAAGGATGAATATAGCACATGTAACCGATCCTATATCCGAAGCATATGGGACACGATTCATGATGTCTCACATAAAGACTAAACCAGTCTTTTGCTATAATATTTCCATTTTAATTTGCCAAGTTCTCATAATTCAGATTATGAAAAGGGATGCCGTAATCATAATCGAATTTTAGAACGCAAATAATGGACCCATATATAGAATTTCCTTATGTTGAGCCATTCCAACATAACATTCATATATATACTTGACTAAATTTGATTAAAACCTCAATCTAAGCTTTTAGAATTGAAATGAAGTTTAATTTCCTCTCCCTTAATTATCGCAAAACAACTTTTCAACCCCTGCAACTTCACGAATTGAAACTTTTGTTTTTCTATAATTAACATTGCTATCTTGCAGTACTAATAATAATTATCATGCTCCCACTAACATGATGATTATTAGCATAACACATATGCTCCCACTAGCTTTGACATTTACTCAGAAATCAGTTGGACTTCTAGAAATCAATATTGTATTGACTTTCATACCAAAGTTCAGACTTCTGATACGAGATGCTTTGATAAAACTTTATCAAAATCATACACCTTTCCTTAGATAGCACACATGTGTGTCTAAACAATTCAGAACTATGAAAAGGGATGACGTAATCATAGTCTAAATTGTTTAGACCTTTGCCATTTCTCATAAGTCCATGTTAGTGTGCCGGTTAACCACACACGCTCCACTAACGACTTTGAGAATGCAAATATCACAATTGCTATCTAGTTAAAATCTACTTAGTGAAAGTGTTTCCTCACCATCATTTTCATGAATCGGAGAGAAACCTTATGACACTTAGATTTAATGGTGTATGTGTTCTTATCCATGTGGATTTGTCAAAACCATAATCACAAGAGAAAGATAATGACAAATCCAAACTCATATGGACTGAACTCAATTTGAATTTCTTGCCATCTGGCAGCTCAAGGGCCTGTCATTGCTTCCAAGTTGTTGTGCAACCAATTGAGAACTCTAAGAACTCATATACAAAGCCAACTTTAACAGGAATGGGCACATAAATAGAAATATGTCAACACGATAGGTTATAAACCTCACGTCGTGTGCTAGTGTTAAACTACAAGTTTTTTATTCTTGATTAGATCTTGAAATTCTTTTCAGGATCTTTAAGACTCCCACTGTCCTCTTGACATATAAGACTATCTTGCCAAATATTCAAGAGATAGTGTATATTCTTTATCAAGACAAACACTTCACACAATTGGCCTAAGTTGGTCTCTGTTTTATCCAAAACATCACAACTTTCCAATTTCAAATGTACAAGAGTAGAAAACCTTTTACTCTTACATTTGACTAGTGTTAATAAACCTTCTTTAAGATGTGTCACTCAACTTACAGTCTTGGAGTATGACTCTAAGAATTGTTTTTGGAACGAGGTATGAATCATCTTCATGATTTAAAGTCCTTAATATAACACCCAATATGAAATATTAAGGCTAGGACCCTACAAACTATTTTATAACTTGGAAGAGGGATGCCGTAATCCAAGCTATAAAATATTTGAAGGTAGGTGAATGACGATTCACCAATTTCCACCAAGATAAACGAAATGTATTATTAGGTTTTAATTGGTTTTGAAACTCCTAGATTCTTTTGAGATTCATTGAACTTTTCAATGGCATGTTTCAATCTCGAGTGTGCCCTTCAGGTTTTGTGACTGGGATGCCGAGGATCACAAAACAAGGTGTGAATAACCATGCAAATATACTTGGTACCCTTAATATTTACCCCTCAATCGATGTGCCAGTTAACCACACGCGCTCCACCGATACTATGATAAACATTAAGTTACCCTTTGCCTACCTTGTTAAATCAAGCTAGTGTGCCGGTTAACCACACACGCTTCATTAACCGACTTAAACAAAGTGCAAAGTGTAATTTCATG